GGGAGCGAGGAGGGGTGGTCTGAGTGGGAGGGAAGCAGGGAGACTTGCTCCAGCCAGTGTCTGTCCACAAAGGTCAACTCCAAGGCCCAGGTGTGGAAAGGCACTTTAAGGGGGTGAGTGACCCGGCGGGAGGAGAGAGCAGATCTGACAGCCGGCGGACAGCTGGTGCCGGTCCAGCCCACCGGTCAGCACAGGCGCAAAGGCATTGGACAGCAGGGCCCTCACGGGGCAGAGGCCTCCAGGTACTGCACTGGGTTCGAGAAGGGGCCTGGCCGGGCCCAGTAGTCCACCGCTCGAACCCGGTAGGAGCCAGAGACGACGGCCGTGTCTGGGGACACAAAGGTACATGCGTGTTCTGGAGCACGTGACCGCCTGAACCCACATCAAATTCCAGGCGCCCCCAACCGCAGGCTTCGCGAGGCCCCACCCCACGGGCACCGTGCGGAGCCCCAGGAGCTGTGGTGGACGCACCTGGGCTGAACACGAAGAGGTTAAAAGTGGACGGCCTCCGGCTGACGGGCGCGAACACCTGGCCATCCGGGGAGAACTGGACCTCGTACGTCCACAGGCACCTGGGAGATCAGCCGGGACCAGGGCTGGGGTCCAGGTGGCTGGGGTGCAGGCCCCCCAGAGCCTAGTCCCTCCAGCCTCCTTCCTGGCTCCCCCGGGGCCCCGGGCTCTCTGCCAGCTGTGAGGACAGGCCACACCGGCCGGGGGGGAGGGGCTGGCGCCCTCCCCCCACATCAGGCAGAGGTGACGTCATGAACACAGCGGCTGCAGGTGTGTGAGGGGAGGGTGTGGCCTTCCGGGTGGTGCAGGCTACAGCGGGGTGACCACGTGGGCAGTGCAGGCGGCAGGCGCTGGGGGAGCGTGTGCTGGGGAAGGATGGGGGGCGCCGGGCAGGGGCTGGGGCACCGAGCGCCCACACTCACGTACTTTGAGCCCATGCGCTCATCTGACCAGACCAACAGCAGCTGCCCACGGGTCAGGGGCAGAGCGCGGAGCCGC